CACCTCAAGATCACAATGACCAATTGCATGCAAAGTATGTAGACCTGGCATGTTGTCACTCGTAGAAATCTCACAAATATCATTATTTCGAACGCGCTGTAATTACGTACCCCCGGCTGCAGTAGTGAGATAATGAAAGGGATGGGAAATAATTTCTATTTAGGTCAATCTTGCGTCAATCCTCCCTTCGATCTCGCGCCAATACACCAGCAACCCGAGAGCCATTCGCCAGTCCCAGCTCTCCCGCAAGCAGTACCATATCGATATTGGTTTCCGCCCCTGCTGGTCCGTCCAACGATAATTCCCAACGATACCTCCTCTGAATACACCAAAGAATATGGTGACCCGCCTCGAGGATCAAGCTGGAGCACTTTCCACTTCTTGATGCTCTAATTTGGTCGTGCTTGCTAGCAGTGTCCTATGAAGAAACATCGAATGTTCTGAACAGTGCTAGTGAATGCTTGGGCCCCTATAAATCTGAATGACATGATCTCGGACGCTGGACCTTGCAGAAGTACAATGCAGTGTATCTCAGAGCATCCAGAAAGAGGAGGCTCTGGAAGATGCAACAGTGGATCTTGGAATGTATATGACATACCAATTTCTCTGGATCTCCAGCTACAAATAGACAAATATCAAGGAAACGAGGACGTTCTAACACTGACACTACAGAACATATAATCAAACGTAGATAAGTTTTAGAATGCAGTTTGGGCAAAGTTTGAAGGACTCACGGCATCGACTGCTTATGGTGCGAGATCAATGCGGATGATAATACCATACCAGCAAACGTCTATACAGCAATATAAATCACGACTTGGGTCGTTCGAAAGTGAGCAGCAGACCACCAACACCTTCTCTTTAGTTCCCAGTAACACTCATCTAAGCGATGCGAGGATACAAGAAGCAACAAAATCGACTCGACCCAGATGCAACCTACAACACTGTATCAAATGAAAAAAGATTGATTAGACACAGTCATTCTCTGACTTTTGGGGTCTGCTTTACCTGTCAGTCCGGCTGTGATTCCCGTACATACACCAATCCATATCAAGAACCTGTTCATGAAGAATCATAAACATGCAATATTATACCACGGCGGTTTCATTTCAGAGCTCCGGAATTGGTGGTCCGGGATGCAGCGGGCCCACGATGTCGAACCTTCTGGAATCAGTTTTGAACAGACATAATCATTGCATTAGAAGTGCACAAGTCCAAATCACTGCAAAGGTATACCACGCTCCATGTGCAAACAATGAGTGAAGGACTTTTTTTAGACGCACCATGAGTTTTCGCTCTGTCTGTCAATTATTTGTGGGTCCAGGATTGTAGTCAGTCATTTCGGTAAACCACCATCATAAGTCTACATTCAACATGCTCAATCGCCGCAGTGTTCGCTGTTCCAAGAATCAGCTGCTCTTTCTCGCCGAACAAACGCGTCATCGTCACCGTCTCAATCAGTCCAGTGGTATTGTGTGCAAGAACTGGATGGTTCTATGAACAAGGATGTAGATGTGTGATTGTTCTGATAATCTGGTTAGATGAATCGAAGTGGACTGATAACGGAAACGAGGAAAGCACGGTGAAAAAAATGACTCGCCCTCTTTGAATTGCCTGCTTGCTCATTCCGCCGTGTCGGGTTCTCCGAGAAAAATGTGGCGCGAGCGCGAGGCGGTGAACGACGGCGTTCCACTTGCGAAGATTTCCAGGAAAGAGCAATAATGATTACACGCAGGTACGGGGATCATTCATTCAAGTGATCTTTTATCGTTTTGCATATATTTGTAGCATGGAAAGCGCAAGTTGGACAACGTTAGGCATGCGGTGGATCCGTGGCAAATGAGGAGCTGAGCTAGGTAATTTCAGTCAGGCCAAAATAGGTCAAAAGTTCCAGAGTTCTAGAATGCTGGTGGTAAGCGAGGTTGTAACAAGAGGTCAAAGCGGTTTCACCAATCTTTGGGACGACAAATACCAAGTACGATCTTCAAGCTGTTGAGTTCCTTTCTGGGGAGAAACCGATATGATCTGTAGCAGCACGATGAATACGCGTTGTAAGTATATTAGATGGAAAAAGGTACTTACGTGTATTGCATTTCGACGAGTCATCGAGAAAGCGAGTGATGTTTGATTCTCAACTCGTCAACTTGCTAGATAACCAGTCTAAGGCCTTGGAGCGACAGAGGGCCCTTGATCATGCTTTCAATACAACAACTTTATACCGTGAACGGTATAAAAGACAGACCTTGGTGGCGTACTTCTGACAAAACCTATTCTTGGACTACATCCTCTTCTCAATCAACACAGGTATTCCGGCAATGTGTTCATTCCCAGTTGGAACTGCTCCGCTTTTGACAACAGATTCTACATTTGTCCCACCCATCACAGTAAGCGTGGCTCTTCGTCATTTAACGATGTTGAAGAATGAGACTGACCAATAATCTAGGGTAAGAGTCCTCCATTCAGACGCTTGCAGTCCACGAATGAGGCGCCGCAATTTTTCATGCTAATTGATGACAATTCTCTCCTGTCGTCCTCCTCAGACCTTCTGTCGCTGCTTCCCGAGTGCTCACACTTGACGAGCTTTGATTTGATACCATCTACCCCTCCACGCACTGTCCCGCTCGGTCTTGACACTGCCAATCGACAGGTTCTCCATCGTAAGCTTGACGCTGTTACACTTTACATCTGCAATGTCGGATTTGGGGGCGCTGGTAAGGGTGATAGATGGGGGCATTATCATACTCCGCGTGGTCCAGCCGCCAGGACGAAGGAATCCCCTGGTACCTTGAAGGCAGCATCAGATGTACGAACAACTGCCTTCGATGTGGTTCAGAAGTTTCCACTTGACTGCAACAAGTCTTCCGAAGACGTTTTTATCCGCGGCAAAACAACGGTGAGCATTACCTATATCTCCTGGCCACGACATCTAATTCTCGATGATTATGTTTTCAGGATAAAAAGACAACCAATGAGAATTATACAAAGGGCCAGGTAGGTTGCCATCCACAGTCCCCATCTCCCAGCTCGAGGGATGCGCCCCTGTCCTGCTGGGAAACTGGCCCTCAGTTTTCCTATCATGGGTGCAACCTGGGAGTGTTCAGCCCCACTCCTTGTCAAAGGGGTTCCTTGTCAATCCCTGATCGCGAGCACGATCCGATTGTGCACCATCATGTCGGGCAATGTTACGCTCGACGGATACAAAACAATTGTTGGGCACCACGAATGCACAACAAAGTTTTGACTCCGGACCCATTGGTCACACCCCAGGTTCAGATGAGAGAAGTCGAGGACCTGGAGAAGGTAACAGATAAGTTAGTGACGGGGGTACCAGCAGGATCGCTACTGTTTTCCACATAAATTCAATCAACGAATGTTTCAAGATTAAATTTTGAGGATCTGTATGAGGACAGTGAGCGTTCGAGTGGTTTTAGAGGAGGCTCGAGGGAAGCAACATCTTGAATCATCGTCGATGAGATGAGATGAGATAACAACTTAGGCGTGGGAGTGCCGCATGCAAAGTTCCAAAATCAAAGTTTCAACATAGAAGATTGAAAGGAACTATTTTTGTCACGCTCAAGTTTAGCTATTCTGTGTTAAAAGCGCCGCTTTCGATAGTAAGGTCAGCTCTACATTTTCAGTCTCTGTTCTGGTCCGTGTGTGCATCCATAATACAGAGTGAAGGGAAGCATATTTGTGGTTGCAAATCATGGTGAGTTGAACCATTCATATCGATATCTACTCGTAGGCTTGACTAGTTTCTCCCCAGATACAATCTTGTTTCCCCGACACTTTCCCCTCGGATCGATCCTCAGAGGCCACGCATCAACGCATCAACGTCGAGCAACTCCCTTCCGATGTTTCTTGTGAGCGCCAGCCAAGCTTCAAGAATTGCGTAGGTGACTACCAGATATCACCAAATTCATTGTCCCTTCCCCTTGTACTTCCTTCCCCTCTACGTACACTTCCCGATCCTCACGCTCAGGATACCTTTCACTCCTTTGCGAGATTTCCAGATGTGTAGATAGCTCGTTTCTTCAAGCTATTATTGTTGACAACTCAACGATTTGGCGTGATTGTGCTTGGATTCACTGGGATCTTGGACCGACAGTCGGCCACCCATTGCCCCAGGAGGATGATCAAAAGAAAAACCCTGTACATGTGCTCCACGACTTCTCAAGCTTGTGGTTGGGCAACAAAGCGTGTTTCAAGGACCCAGAACGGAAGAATGTGTCCACACAATAAATCATTCTCATGGTATGCCCCAAATTCGATTGGTTGGAGTTTATCAACGTTCATGTTTATTCTCATCTGTGGTCCAAGGACTTGTGACTGCGGGATTCCGGGACGATTCGACATACCTAACGGGACAGTGCCACACAATGCATCGACGTGGAGAATGACCTGGATCTCAAATTGTTTCTAACCTAGATATTCCGATCGCATCGTGAGCAGTCGACATGAACGGGAAACATACGTGGACGAGTGTGCTATGTATGAGACTTCCCTCTCGTAATTTGTCCTCAGAACTGTGCTTCATCTTCAGTTCGGCTTCGCTCTCAAATCATCACTGCCCACCGAAAACTTGTATCCTGCTTTACCTGACCGGACACCATGCATGATTCAAACTTTTCAGACCGTGCATCAAGTCCGTTCCCTCCTCCAGATAACGCGGTTTCCCATTGACTATGTTGTCTCAGAGCCTTGTCGTTATCGTGCGACCGAAGGCGTTTGTTCGTGTTGGTCATGGGATATAGAGGATGGAGGCCGTATATGCAGGAAATCATAGTAAATACGAAGACTTGGATTGTTTTGCTAGAAGTTAATCCTGCTTGGCCTGGTACCGTTCTTAGAAACATTCATACTCAAAATATATCCCCTCGATTCTGTAATTGACTTACGGTCGCCAGGTACCTACATACCTCGAAATATTGCCATGTACTTAAGTGGAGTGAACTGCAGATGATTCCAAGAAAAAGTAGGTGCACATATGTATATTGTCATGATTTAACCCGGGCTCGAACCGGGGACCTTCTGTGAAACTCAACCCTACTAGGTGGTGTTAGACAGATGCGATAACCAACTACGCCATCAAACCATGATAATGTGAGCTCATTGAATATTTGTTGTTCAAGGACTAGCGACTGTCGGATTCCGGGACCATTCAACGCACCTTACGGGACAGTCGTGCGGCAACTCCAACGCTTAAATGGTGAACAAACAGACAACAATAGGCATCTTTCAGGTTTTGACGGGTATCACCGGTACCCCTGCATAGAGCTCCCAACAAACGTGACGGTGATGGCGGAATTTGCTGAAGAGGCGAATGGCTCTCGGGGTGCACTGCTAGGCGGGTCTGAAGTTGAGGCTTGACAATGACTAGTGACTCTCGAAATAGTCCTAAAAATTCATCGTATGAAATCTGCATCCATTGAAGTATACGATAAAACCAACCACCGATGAAAACGAACGTTCGTGACAAATATGTAGACGGTATGCAGATAGCAAGAAAGATATAAAAGACAAAGTGAAAATGAAGAGACAAGGGCATGAGAACAATGTGAAAAGGAGTCCATTCGACGTGGCAGTATCATGCATGGCCGTAAGAGATGCTCTGGCGAGCACTAGGATGGTGACTATTAATGGGTATCATTTGCTCATGGCAGCTCTAGTATACGAGACGATTTCCGGGAGGGTGAAGACAGCGGCAGAAAACAAGGACTGCCAAGGTGAAAGATGCAGCAATTATGCAAATCATGACTTCTGCTTCTTCACAGTTTGTGATAACCATTGTAAACCTTCGAACAGACCCTCTCCAGTTGTGGCACAGCTGTTTAACAAATATATCGGTACAAGGACAAACAACCTTGAGATAGAAGACTCACCTAGGATGCACATACCACGACCTATCACGCATCTTGTGTAGTCCCAACTTCTCCGTCACCTCCGCTGGGGACATTGCTGTTAACAGAGTAAGTGTTTCAATTGAGATTGAAAATGAAGTCAACCGTGATCTACCTCCAGGAAGATCCTGTTTGTTCGCAAATACTAATAATAAGCACTCTTTCATTTCTCGGTCGCCCAATATCCTATGCAGTTCCTGCTTGGCCTCGTCGATTCTGTCCCGGTCCTGGCTGTCGATGACAAACACCAAGCCTTGCGTTCCAGTATAATAATGCCTCCAAAGCGGTCGAATCTTATCTTGTCCTCCGACATCCCACACGTTGAACTTAACGTTTCGGTATGTTACAGTTTCCACATTGAAACCAACTGTAGAAACAGTCGTTAGTAATTGAAGGAATTCTGAGCGGCGTGAGAGTGTAAGGTAAGCGGACCTGTTGGGATGGTTGTTACAGATTGGTTGAGTTTAAGCTTGTAAAGAATTGCTGCAGAGGGAAATGGTGTTAACGCTGAAAGAAAATTCAAACGAATTAAATGCATTGAACCACTCACTCGTCTTGCCAGCTGCATCCAGCCCTAGCATGAGCAGCCGCATCTCCTTGTTCCCAAAGATCTTTCCTGGTACAGGCCAGACGAAGGGATGCAAAGTAAAAGACCAAAAAAGGTTCAGAGGGGGTTCGTTGATTAGATGCAGCAAAGCGAGGTTTAAGAGGCAATCTCTCACCTAGCGCCTTGGAAAGGTTCGCACCCATTTTCTAAAGTTAATAGCGAGATGTAAAAGAGCGACTAAAAGGTGAGAAGAATGTCGCAAACAAATGAGCAGGGGGAGCAGGTTGAAGAAAGTGTGAACGGCGGAAAGACAGGCTGTTACGTCACGTGCTACAAGCGCACGTTAAGCGAGGTATGTATTGCTGTTGGCGCTCATGAGATAGCAGGCTGAGTTACGCGCCATGAATCTCCATGATTTTCGGGTGCCTCTTACATTTCTCGACCTAACAAAGCTTCGCGATGCTCCATTTCCACCCTCTACTATACTTGCTTCGTGGTCTCGAGATGATAACGAAACTGTCGCAGGAGCTATCGTTGGTCTCGCGGATGGATCCGCTCTCCTCCTACGTAGCTCGGAAGTTCAGGAAAAGCGAAGCAGTCACACAAAATCCTCATCTCCACGGTTGAGCTCAACAGCACCGTCACGAACATCTGCGACTGCCTCGCGTTCGAATTCCCCATCCGGATCACATAGCTCGCACATCTCACCATTTTCAGTTACTCAAAGGTCCAGAGTGGTCTCCGGAATTACCAGCGAACAAGTCGAAGCCCCGAAGAATTACATTGATTTTGATGATGAACCGGAGAAACTGAAGGATATGCTCAAAGGTCGTGGTCCTAGAGAAAAGTCGAGTTTGGACAGTCATCGAGAAAAGGATGGCAAGACGACAGCCTCAGCTGAATTGAAACTATCTACAAGGAAACGGAAAGAGCCTCCAAAGTCAATGCTATCTGCTACTACGTCTCCCGCTCTTTCTCCTTTATCTATTTCGGCCCCCCCATCTCCCAAGGGCCCTTCTCAGACTCGAGTATCCAGAGAGTTTGAGCTCGTTTGCCACATGGTCCCGCCTCGAATCGGACAGAGACATCGTGTCACTGGAATAGAGCTGTTGCATAAAAATGATTTGAGTGCGGTGCTACAAGAATCTGGGTGAGTTATGCGCGCCTTTGCCCAATAACACAGCTCACTTTTTGTTCTCAGGAGTCTCGCTATTCTCTCTAACCGAGACGGAAAGAACTTTGCCAATGTCCAAATCGCCGATACGAATCTCTCGTCTTCCGATGGAGTCAAACATAACCATTCTATACATGATGTTTGGCTCTGGACCCATCTGCGCTCGTACGTTACTGGTGAGGTACGTTTCAAGTCTTTAGTACCGGTTTTATTTCGGTTCGACTATTATACAGAACGTCCTACTGCTAGCCTCCGGCACGGTTGCTCCCGAGTCTGTTTCTACAAATCTTAGTGATCCCGACGAAAATTTGAAGGACAGATGTAGAGTTGTCCTTCTCGAGCTGTGTACAAACCACCTCATAGGTACACTCGAAGTTAAACTGGAACTTATCGGACAGTGGTTTTGTGATGGGCTCCCACAGGCGGTCGGTCTACATTGCATAAAAGATTGTAAGCGTTTATGATTTATTCGTCTTGTTGCTCCTCTGAATAAATCCTCTCAGCATCGTTTGTGTTTTACTCACTAAGTTCTGATGGCAGATTTGCTATACAAAACTTACATATTTTCCCGAACCTACCTATTGTAACCCCAACGAAAGGCCCACAAGAATCCCAGCTCAATCTAAACTTCGTTGCGTTGGGTCCCCTTCCGAACCCTTTCAAGAGTAAGCCCAAATCTCCTGACGACGACATCTACGTGGACCCCACCCCAAAGTCGAATAGAGTTCAGCTGGACGACGCATTTGTTATCGGTAAAGTTTGTTCAGAAGGTTCTCAGCTTGCATACAACTTTTCATCGTTTGGTGATGACTTGAAAGGTGTAGGCTGGTCTGAGAATGAACTGGTCGTGAGTCCCACATGCCTGCAAATGGTGTTAAAAATCTCAAATTGAAGCCTATGTAGGCTTTCAACTATATAGATGGAAATTTTGTCCCGCTCTTTTCCTACCCACTATCTGATGTTTCTGGTGCACGTTGGTTAGATCCTAATACGATCGCTGTTATGCTTGAGGTTTGTTTCCGGGAAATTGATAGCCCCTGCATTTTATTCATTCTGAATAGGAGAGATGCGAATTATACAAAACAGTTGCCGTTGATGCAAGTGGCGAAGAAATCCCGTCCTCCGCAACCACTGGGCCGGTTTTGTCACAGTGAGTATGACAACGCTCGATATGTCCTACAATATAAGACTGAAAGCCTTCTAAGACCTAGATTGTTCAAAGCGTTTTCAATTGCCTCATTCGATGTCGTCGAATTCGCAACGGCTTTCGAGCTTCTCACCGTGGATTGTAATCATCAAGTCGTCAGATATTCATGGTATGAAAAACCACAGCGGTCACCAGAGAATCTTGTTCACACTTTATGGCGTCGCCCAAGAGACACTTTACCAAATTCGGTCAAACTAACCGTAATATTGCCTCTTGATCTCAACTCCATCATTTTGGGCTTTTGTGAGTACAGAAGATTCTTGCCACAACAGGAAAACTCATGGCAGATTCAGCTGACGGATATCTTCGCCAGTCGTCATTCCTCAAGCTATGCGATGAGAAAATCTCTAGTCGTGACTGTTCAGCGTGCTCTGACTTGGCATTGGATGGCAAGATCGTCAGTCTACATTTGGCTACAAATGAAAGAACAAATGTCCAGTATCTTGTCGGTGGAGGAGATGATGGTTCAATCGCCATTTGGACCACAGAGTAAGCCTTCGTGCGCACAATACACTTACATATCTAACTATACTCTACTGCAGATTAAAACTATGTGCACGATGGATCATTTTCGGCACTCCCCTTCACCAGATGGCTCAATTTCCAAAAATCAAGGGAGCGCCATTACGGGATGCTATTCTTTGTGTATCAGAAGACGGAACTATTGCAGTCGTCGCGCTAGACGGATTTCAATTGTAGGAATGCAAACTTCTATCGTTCAATGGGTTGAACTTACGATATTTTTAGCTTATATGTCGTTCCTGGTTCGCCATTCCCTTTGCAACGAGTTTTCCTAGGAGAGGAGAATCTACTCTTGGCCTACGCTGACCAAAGATCACGATTGTGGGACGTCAAGACCAGAGAATTTTGGCGGTCAATGTCCATGGATAAGGCCGAGGAACTCTTTGCTCAAGGGGGCTGGACAGAGTTGTACGTGTTCAAGTCGAATTATTACTTGTCATACTTCCAAATTTTCCAGAGACCTTGATAACGGTAGAATATCCTTAAATCGGGTTTTGAAGAATGTATCCTCCTGTAACCGAAGCCCGGATGTCGGTCAGTCTCTTGACTTCTAACACTCTTAAGGGGAGACTGAAATCTGGTCGAAGATTGCACTCTGACTTTGAACCTGAATAGCTTCATTTCTGATTCTCTTTCGGTTATCAAATCTCTGAGTACGAACAAAACCCAAACAAGAAGTATATTACTGGCCCGGGAACACCTACAGTCGGCCTTGTCCTTACTTTTGACCCCTGGTTTAAATCGG